GTCCGGCCGTGGCGAGATCTGACCCCATCCTCTTCCTGTCCCGTGGATCAGGATGACGCCCGAGGCGCTGGGTCCAACGCAATCTTGGGTCGGGGTCCCTGGCACTTAGGAGGAGGGTAGCGTTTGGCCGAGCGAGAGCGTCCCCACGTCTGCTGCGCTTTAGCGGGCTGAACAGCAGGGGTGGCAGGCGCTGGTTTCGCAGGCTGCTGAGTCGGCGGGTGAGATTTTGGGTGAGCTGAGACGGCAGCGGAGCTGGAGCGCTTAGGCAGTAAATGTCGCATAGCCTGGGACGATTTCTGTGCCTTCGTGAAGCATTCAGCAAACCCTTCGACCGCTGGGCCGAAAAGGCTCTTGGGGGAGACAGGAGCATCGAGGAAGTGGATCCGCGTCCTTCATCTCCGTCAGCGTCAACCATAAATGGCGCTCGAGCACCACAAGGCTGGCCATCGATCTCCTAATCGCCTGGGCAGTGGGCTTGGTGGCGCGTAGAGCCAGGTCCGTCGCGCTCCTCAGTTCCCTGAGGGTAGCGGGGTCCCGGCCAGACTCGGCGGATGCGAGGATTTTGGCCTGGAAGACCTGAAGGACCGCCATAGAATGAAGCGGCGCGGCGCGGATGATGGCGAGGGGGTGGGGTCATTTTCCGAGCCCAACAGCTCCTCTGCATCCGATGCTGCCAGTGACATGCTGTCATCGAGCAGCTCGTCTCCACTTCCCCCGAATGAGATCAGGTCGCTCGCATCAGCAGAGAGATGCTGATCAGACCGGGAGAAAAGGATGGGTGAACACTCTCTCTGCGGCGAGAGCGAGGCACGCGGGATCTGGGCTGGCGTGAGCTCGCTCGTGGCCGATCGCTCGACCCCTTTGCCCCACTGTTTTTTCCTCACAGGTCCCTGGGAGGAAGAAAACGGGAGGGTGCGGGGTGTGGGGGGCGGAGTCGCTCTCTGAAAAGAAAGCGATCCGTGAGCGGAGAGAGGCTAGACTAAAACTCTCGCAATGAGAGCAAATAGCTCCCGTGAGCGCAGCTTCCGCATGGGGTTTCCCCAAGCAGGAAACGCACTCCTTGTGGCCGTCATCGGCATGCAGGGGAGACCGGCACGAGCCGCAATAACGGCGCGGCATTTGCAACAACGCCGCTGCTCTTTTAGAAGCTCTTTGAAGTCGCCAGATGGCGGCAGGGGAACCAGACCGGAACGTAAATGTAAAGACAGCCTGAAAGGGGAACAGAGTCTCGTGACAGACACAGTGTCAAACTAATATTGCTGTTGAGACAAAATGCAATGCCATCAAGTTAGCATTTTTAAACATTCGCTCACTAAAAAATGAATCATTTCTAATCAATGACTTAATAACCACAAACAACCTGGATTTTATGTTTCTAAATGAAACATGGCTAGAAGACAGCTGCAGTGCAACGGTCCTCAATGAAACAGCCCCTCCTAACTTCACTTTCATGAGTGTTTGCAGGACTGTTAGGAGAGGTGGAGGTGTAGCTGCTCTATTTAAAGATGTCTATCAATGCAAGCAAGTGTCATTTGGTCAGTACTTGTCTTTTGAATATCTAGGGATTGTGTTGAAAGGTGCTCCACGCATTCTGTTTATCATTATTTACAGGCCTCCAAAATACTCTCCAGCCTTTGTTGAAGAGTTCACAGAAATGCTATCAATGATTTCCTCAGAGTTTGACTGTTTTGCTATTGCAGGGGATTTTAATATTCACATAGATAATGCAGAAAACAAAACTACAAAAGAAATTATAACTGTATATATAACTAATATAACATAAGAAAAATAACTGTTTTAAATACTTTTGACCTGATTCAGCATGTGCATGAACCCACACACAAAAATCAAGTCAGGAATCTTGGTGTGATTCTGGAGACAGACCTTAGTTTCAGTAGTCATGTCAAAGCTGTAACTAAATCAGCATACTATCATCTCAAAAACATTGCAAGAATTAGAGGTTTTGTTTCCAGTCAAGACTTGGAGAAACTTGTTCATGCCTTTATCACCAGCAGGGTGGACTATTGTAATGGTCTCCTCACCGGCCTTCCCAAGAAGACCATTAGACAGCTGCAGCTCATCCAGAACACTGCTGCCAGAATTCTTACTAGAACCAGAAAATCTGAGCATATTACACCAGTCCTCAGGTCCTTACACTGGCTTCCAGTTATATTTAGGATTGATTTAAGTACTTTTACTCGTTTATAAATCACTCAATGGCCTAGGACCTAAATATATAGCAGATATGCTCACTGAATATAAACCTAACAGACGACTCAGATCATTAGGATCGAGTCAGTTAGAAATACCAAGGGTTCACACAAAACAAGGGGAATGTGCTTTTAGTTATTATGCCACCCGCAGTTGGAATCAGCTTCCAGAAGAGATCAGATGTGCTAAAACATTAGTCACATTTAAATGCAGACTCAAAACTCATCTGTTTAGCTGTGCATTTATTGAATGAGCACTGTGCGATGTCCGAACTGATTGCACTATATTATATGTATAATCGTTTTCTTAAATTCATTTTAAACCTCTTAAATCATTTTTTTTTTATAATTTTCAAAGTTTTTAAATTCCTTGTTTTATTGTTGTGATTGTTTTTTTATGTAATTATGTAAAGCACTTTGAATTACCATTGTGTATGAAATGTGCTATACAAATAAACTTGCCTTGCCTTGCCTCTCTCTCTCTCTCTCTCTCTGTCGCTCTCTCTCTCTCTCTCTCTCTCACACACACACACACACGATACGCAAAACTCCTCATTTGAACAGTCAATAGCAAATACTAGAAACACACAGCGTCTCCCTGACATGGCTGCTTCAACACTAACTGTGGTTACTGAAACCACGCCTTCTTTCTTTGCGTGAACATTTGGGTGGCATTATGCTAATATTTCCACATAGTGAGGTAGATATGTGGGGGCGTGTTAGAACGAGGCATTTTAGGGGGGCGTGGCAGAGTCTTAACTTTGATAAAGAATGTCTCTTTGGTTTTGAGACTTTAGTCTTTGCAACTTCAGGGATCTTATCTATGCACAATCAGCTTGTAACACTCCAAAGAGAAAGGAAAACTTGAAATCGCATCATATGACCTCTTTAAGCAAGACGCAGTACAAGTGAAGTATCGAAAGGGAAACAGGGATCTTTGCCATCAGAGGAATAAATTGCATTTTAAAATGTATTAAAACATAAAACAGTTATTTAAAATTATAATGTTATATTTTATTGTATTTTGATCAAATAAATGCAGCCTTTGTGAGCAGAAGAGACTTCTTTCAAAAACATAAAAAAATCTTACAGACCCAAATCTTTTGAATTTATGTAATGTATTTACACACAAGTATAACAATAAAATACATATGACTGTTTTTTTTAGTTTAGTGTGTTTGGTTTAGGCTTTACATTAAATTTTTTACATTACATATTTTTTTTTCTTTTGAAAATATGATTAAAGTATAACTTGTTTGTTTGTATGTATGTAGCGGAGGTAACGTGTGCACCCAGCCAGTTCCAGTGTGCCATAACCAAGCACTGTATCCCACGTGTGTGGGTGTGTGACCGTGATAATGACTGCGTTGATGGATCTGACGAGCCCGCCAACTGCAGTAAGTGGAAATGTTTTTAATTAAAATCTCATTATATGAAATTTTTAAATCAAAACTCACTGTACATTATCCATTGCCATGCCTATTAATAGATAGAAACAGGCATGGTTATGTTCTCAAAATTGCTTAATATCTGCTGATACTATTATTTGAACACTGTGTATCTCCAGATTCATGCCATGGTTTTCATGTTTATCTGTATTTTGTTTTTCTGTCTGCTGTCATGTTCATCTGTTTTGATATTGTAAAGCGACCTTGAGGTTGCAGAAAGGCGCTATATAAAATAAACGTATTATTATTATTACTTCTACCAATTAGCGCATATTAATATCATTCATTGAGTTCTTTCTTATATCTCTTTCTGTAGCTCAGATGACATGTGGTGTGGATGAGTTCCTCTGTAAAGACTCCGGTCGCTGTATCCCAGCTCGCTGGAAGTGCGACGGAGAGGATGACTGTGGTGATTCTTCAGATGAACCCAAAGAGGAGTGTGGTGCGTTCATATGCTTATATACAAGACTAGCAAATGTAATATTTTAGAGTAGTATCATTAATTAAAAATTTAAATTTGAATTCAAATTTAAAGGGATAGCTCATCAAGAATGTCTCAGTTTACATCTGTAACCATGATTCCCTGAGAGGAAACGAGACGCCGCGTCAAAACGCTGTGGGGAAGTAATTGCGTCTTGAAGCATGTGTTAAATCAGTTCAATGGAGTGGTGAGACATCACGGGCAGGGTGATGTAGAAACCAGGAAGCTTAAAAGCACATCCGGAACAAATAGCATTAGCTTCTGATAGGTCGAAGCAGGTTGCTCACAGGGATGCAGGGAGACGAAGTGTCTCGTTCCCTTTCAGGGATCTATGAGTACAGACATAACCTGAGACGTTCCCTCTCAAGGGAACTCGAAACGCTGTGGGAAAGACAATACCTGCTTCGCCATACTGACGAATACCTGTCTACCATGAATCATGGTGAGCAAAGCTAAGAGAGGATAACTTAAAAGCTTGGCAGAGATCCCAGTTCTAAATAATAGAACCTGATGAATGTGAGTGAGGAAGAACAGCCCGCCACATCACAAATGTCCTGCAGGGACACCCCTGAAAGAAAGGGTTTAGAAGCCACCATACTTTGCATTGAGTGCACCAACGGTCACTAACAGGTTTTTTTCCCAATGACTGACCACCCAAAGGGGTTCTAGTGAGCAGCTTTGGCCACCACGTATACCTTTAAGCTGGAGGGAGATAACCTTGTTGTGAATCACTCCAGCACTGAACCAACCAGGCAGTAAACTGGGTCCTGCTGTCGATTTCCACACCAAACGAACAGTGCCCACTTCAAGGCATTCTGTTTCCTCATGGAGGAAGCTCTGGAGTGGAGTATGTTCTTAGCAACCTCAGCTGAGAGACCAGAATCTGTAAGTTGTGCCCTCTCTGTGGCCATACCCATAGCGTCCATAACTCCAGGTGAAGGTGAAGGATTGAGCCCCCTGCCTAAGACAAAAGGTCCCACCTGACCGGAACCTCCCATGGAAAGCCGTCGAGGAGGGCCTTGGTCTGAGAACCATACTCGAGCCGGCCAGAACAAGGCTACTAATAACAGATGGACCCTGTCCCAGCGAGCTCTCTCCAGAACACCTGACAGCAGAGCAATTGAGGGAAATGCATACAGACGCAGCCTCAGCAATGCCTGTACCATGGCATCCAGTCCGAGAGAAGCTCACGTGAGGGAAAACCAGAGCAGACATTGGCTGTTTACATGCACAATTTTTGTTTCAATCAGACTGAATTCAATTCAATTTATGAATCTGAATGTAGTGTTTACATGAAAGCTAAATAAAGTGATCGGGTTGATGTGCGTGTTTATATGTCACAAGCTTCAAATTAGAATTAATTTTTTTGGACATGCGCACACTGTACAAATATAGAGTTTCCCCCTGTTTGCACATGATAACCACTCTCCTATACGGTTTCTTTATTTGTTTTAAACAGCGGAATTAATATGTATCCATTTCTGGATAAATATTACATATCAACCACTGTGCCGTGCTGCTTATATTTATCACGCAGTAAAAATGTGCGACACTGTGCCCAAAACCAGTCGTCCCTGGATGAGAATCCGAAAAAAGGACTGGTGGGATGTTGACCTGCTCCACTTCACAAACGCTGAGTGAAAGGAGAGTTTTATAATGACAGGACATTAATTTATACAACTCTTTATCAATGGAAAAAGAACAGCTCGTTCGGCGAGTCATGTGTCATTATGCTATTTCTGTGTCATTGCGCATGCGCAGTCCTTTCAGTTTCGGTTTTCAATCCGATCAAGTGTTTTAGAAAAGGAATAAACCACCTCTTTCAATCCGATCAAAATCTCATTCAGATTGTGCTCAATCTGATCGATTAAGGTGTTTACATGAAGGTTTTCAGTCCGATTGAGCCGTCAATCCGATTACTGATGGATTATTTGGTTGCATGTAAACGTAGCCAGTGTATCGTTTCTTGACGCAAACAAGTCCACTTCTGCCTGGCCAAACTCCCTCCAAATCTGCTCCACCACCTTGGGAGACCAGTTTTCCCTGAGCCTACAGGAGGATCTGGTGAGCAACTTTCAAAATGGATGCTGTAAGAGACCACAGATGTGTTGTCTGTACGAACAAGCACATGATGGCCTCTCGGGTCTGGGAGAAAGTATTTCAATGCTCAGAACACAGCCAGCATCTCAAGGCAATTGATGTGCCATGAGAGATGATGTCTCCCCACAGACCTGAGCTGAGCAAACAATTCGTGATCGCTCCTCAACCAGTGAGGGATGCATCTGTTGTAAGAGTTACGCGATGACAAGGAGCTCCCAACACAAGGACCCTGGGACAAGAACCAAGGCTTCTTCCACATGAATGCATGGCATTATCCCTGTTGAAAAAACAGCATATGCTGGTTAGGTATGTTTTGAAGCATGGCTGCTGGTTTGAGCTTGTTTAAGCTGGGCCTTAGCTGGTCATGTGCTGGTCCTAAGCTGGTCCTAAGCAACTAGCTCCTGCTCACAACCAGCTTAGGACCAGCACATGACCAGCTTAAACCAGCTCAAACCAGCAGCCATGCTTCAAAACATACCTAACCAGCATATGCTGTTTTTTTTAACAGGGGTGTGTGACCTTGATCAAGCGAAGTGGGATGCCCCTCAGGGAAAACCCCTTGGTTCTGAGCCACCACTGCAAAGGTCTCATGGACAGCAGGCCAAAAGGTATCACATTGGATGATGCTACCATCAGACCCAACAATCTCTAAAACTGTTTTACAGTGAGTGACTGGCCTAGCCTCAATCCTTTTACGGCTACAAGAATCGAATCGATATGAGCAGGAGACAGACGTGCCTATATCATCATCAAATCCCATATCATGCCAAGATAAGTGGTCCTCTGTACTGGAGAAAGCACACTCTTCTTGGCCTGCAGGCTTAACCCCAGCTCTTTCATGTGGGTGAGGCATCACAGAAAGCAACACTCTGCTTCTGAGTGGTGCAATACCAGGAGCTGTTCCCTCCCAGCAGCCCCCAAAACCTGAGGTCGGCAAGGGAGGTGGCACTGGAATGCTGCTGCCTGCTATTTAACCTCCTACAACTTGTCGACTACTAAGGTGACAGCGGCACTGAACAGGCCAGAAGGTGCATGTGGAGCATCCAGGAGGAAAAACTTGTCCTTCTCTATGATGTCAGACAAGTGCATAGTTTCCCATCCATGGCCACCAGGGCTTCCATAGAATGGCTGATGGCTCTAGCCGTCTCCTTATTGGACCGAAGAGACAAATCAGTGGCCTGGTCCAGTTCTTGGATTGTTTCCGTACCTACCCCCTCGCTCTCATCAAGGTCTTTTTACAGGTCAGCCTGGTATGCCTGCAGACATCCCTTGGCTTGACCTGCCACCTTACCCACCAGAGCCGAAGTTGTTCTACATGGCTTGGTGGGTAATGTTGGAGACTTAAGAGATGATGCTGTATCAAGGGACAGATCACTCGCAAGCATCTGCTCCACCTTAGGCATCGCCCCATAGCCCTGCTCATTCAACCCCTTGATGTTTGTATAGTCTGATACATTAGGGCTGAAGAGCTGGGCTGAATATGGTTTATTTTATATAAGGCAGAGCCCATCTCTCACTAGATCAGTTTGCGAGTCCCACAATCTCAATCGCTGCTCTGCCTCGACTACAGCGGGACCGGAACCGTGTGTGTTCCCACCCGTAATGTAGCGCGGACAGGGAGGAACACACAATCATGTAGATTTATAGGCCTTATTTAGACTCTTTGCTCACCATATTTTACTTATTTTGACATTGATTGTGCACTGGCACAGAAACATAAACAAACATAAACTCCTACTGACATAAACAGAAGGCTTGCTGAAGACAGAGAAGCTAATGCTATTTGTTTCCGCTTTTAAGCATCTCTGGGCCGGATTCACGAAAATCTTCTTAAGAAATAAGTTAAGTTAAATAAATTCCACGAAGTTCGTAAGAATGTTCTTAAGTGCAATTCTTGAAAAATTCTTAAGTTCTCAAATTAAAAGAAAATAACAGTCGTTATCTGAGTGAATACATGATGCACTGCTGAACTCACACTTTATTGTCTTTTTGCGCTTCCTGCAAATTACCCTAATAACTTCAATAAGTACGCACATTATTTTCATCGCGAGTTTGACTGGCACTCAGCTTCACGTTTTTAATGCGCCGTGTTTTTGAACAGTTACTTTTAAAATAGCCTGTCTCAAGCTGCAGCGACATGTTTCATTCATTTTTGTGCTGTGTTTTGCGCTCTCATCTGAGTGAACGCTTCCGGTATGTGTGTCCGCGCTGCTACAGCAAACACGTCCTGCGCATTCATGTGCGCTGAATACTGCCAAAGATTATGTCGTATTTATAAGCTAAAATTAAAAGCGTTCAATTAAAGCTCCCTATCTGACTCATTTTAGAGTTGCTACTGAGTTTTGAAGTCAGCAAAAAAGTAGCGTCACACATAGGCTAATCATGACCGATCATTGTTTACATTATCAGTCATCGCTGTCACTTCAGGAAACTCGTGCACATCCCTATTAATAGTCCTACTATGTATTATATGTAGCTAGTGTTGTTGTAATGCTTAAATATAACAATTTATTTGAAATAACCCAATAAATTCATTAAATAATTCTTACTGTTTGGGGTTTAAGACAAGTCTGGGGCTGTCCTAAATTTAAGAAGTTATTTACGATGATTTTTAAGAAGATTCTTTTCAAGAATTTGAATTCTTCTCAAGTTTTGTCTTAAGAACAATCTTAAGAAAAAAGATAAGAATATTCTTAAGAAACATTTTTGGGAATACAAAATATTCTTAACTTTTTTCTTAAGTTAAAAAAGAAGAAAATTGCAGTTAAGAAGAAATGCCTTCTTAAGAATGTTTCATGAATCCGGCCACTGGTTTCTACATCACCCTGCCCGTGGACTGATTTCACACATGCTTCAATCAAGAGCCAGAGGTGCTCCCACAGTATTTTGATGCAGCACAAGTTCCTTTGAAAAGCAAATGAAAATTGTCATCATTTACTCACATTCATATCGTTCCAAACCCATAAGACTTTGATTCACCTTTGAAACACAAATGAAGACATTTTTAACTTAGATGGGTTAGAACTTAAGAGAATTTAAAAGATTATAAAGGGTTTGTAAAACAAACAAATTCATATGAATCGAGTGGATTCATTCTTGTGAAGAGATACAATTGCTTTAAAGCGTAAATTAAATCTGTTCACTATATATTTACACACATACAGAGAGCTCAGACATGCAAGTGTGATGCACAAGAGCCAGTGAGGTTTGTTCTAGTCTAGTGTATGATGCACACAAATGCTTCTGCGTTTACTATATGTGATTTGCTCCATGCACTGTAGTTGTCAGACTCTGTTCCATGTCTTGTGTGTTTTCTTCCCCCACGTGCTCCCTATGTGACATTATCCCCTTATTTGGTTTTCTTCCTGTTCCTGTCCTCATAGTTCATTAGTTTCTCCCTGTGTCTCATTATTAGTTATCCTCCTCACCTGTCTGCCCCTCGTTATCGGCCCTATTTGAGTTCTAGCCCGTTCTGTTTTCCCTTGTCCGGAATTGTTCGTATTACCCCAGTGCTACGTGTGCTTTTCTGGTGTTCTGTTCATTAAAGTTCTGTTTATTGGAATCTCCTATGTCTCCGCATCTCCTCGCTCCAGCACAGTAGGCTCGCATGACAGTAGTATGTGTGTTCATTTTAATACGCACATTATATTAATACAGACAAGCCTAAATTAAATCTGTGCATCATATACAGCAATCATATCTCTTCAAAAGATTTGAATATGTTTCTGTTTTGCAACGCTTTTATTACCTTTTTAGATCTTCTAAGATTTGGTTAGCTGGACCTCAATGGGGGGGGACTGAATTAAAATATGTTTTCAATATTTCGATTATTGAAGATTAACCAAATTGTTTTAGGTCTGGAATGACATGATGACAATTTTCATCAAATTATGAAAGATTTGTGATTTTTGGGTTAGCGATGCCTTAACTTACATGTTAAAGTTCCTTTAATTTAATTATTTATATGCTGCCACTTAAGAATTATACAGCACTAATGTTGTGGCTATATATGCAGATGAGAGGACGTGTGAGCCATATCAGTTCCGCTGTAAAAACAACCGCTGTGTTCCCGGCCGCTGGCAGTGTGACTATGACAACGACTGCGGGGACAACTCGGACGAGGATAAGTGTGGTAGGTTTCCACCGCCTGCTGCTGCATCTGAGCGCTGAGACTGCACGGGTCCGGATGAACATCAGGCACACACGCATCCAGAGACATGCTTCACCTTACATCACAGCAATGGTAGCAGGAACAGAACGTTCTGTTAGGCTCTCAGACAAGTGGCAGTCAGCGACACGAAATTAACCGAAAAACCTGATCGTTGTCATTCTCATTTATTTGTTCATGAGCACATTTTAATTAACGAGAGGACTTTTTTTTTTCCCCTTTTCCCTTTTCATGTGCATGTTTTTGTTTCGTCCAGTCATTTACGTGTCTACATCTTGTTTATTCTTCATTTCACACTGCCACATTGATGTGGGTTAGAGGTAGGTTTCCATTTTCAAATGTCCACTTCAGTCCTGAACCTCTCCGTCAGTGGCTGCTCGCTGGTGACACTGGGAGGCTTGAATGTTCTTTTCTGTTTCACTATGCATGAAAAACTGAAGACAGCAATTTACAGTACATGTAAATGGTTAAAGAAGATATAATCAATGATTAATAACGAGCCTTTTCCAGTACTCAGCAGCTAGCCACTGTGAAGCCCTTTCCTGCAGTTTTTGAGCAGTTATTGTTTGGATTTGATTTTTGTTTTGCCTGCTGCTCCCAAACACCCAAAGCTCCATCTGTCCTTGTGCCTCTGGTTTAAGATGTGTGCCCTTAACAATCATATTACCTAAAAAAAAACCCTGCTTCTACAGCTGAAGTGATCTAATGAGACCCTTCGGAGTGAATGTCACGAAAGAAAAAAAAATTCATGCCACATTTCACATGTGGCATACAATTACCTTTTGTTTTTAGAAAATTCTGCTTGTTTTTAGGACCATTAGGATTTTTTGCACAATGTCATTATTTTTAATGACGACAAAGCACGTTTTCCTCCTAAACGTCTCATTGTAATTTTTCCAGACTTTTAACTTTTGAGTTTGTTTGTAGTTTTTACCATTATCCGTAGCGATTCTTATTACTGTGATACATTTGAACTTAATGAGCATAAATTATAGACAATGCAGCAAATTGTTATTAGAATGATTTCTGAAGGATCATGTGACACTGGAGTAATGATGCTGAAAATTCACACATTTTAAAATATATTACAGTAGAAAAATTATTTTTAAGTTTTTACAATATTACTGTTGAGCTTCTCGCTGTATTTTTAATTAATGAATGCAGCTTTGGTGAGCATAAAAGACTTATTTTAAAACTTTGTTGACCCATAACTGTTGAACAGTTGTGTATAAATACTCAGCAATTCAATAAAACTTTTTTTATTTTATTTTTTATTGCTGTAATGAGAATAAGCATTGTTTTTGTACTACGAATGAGAATTGGGATGAAAACATGCTTGTCAAAAAATCTTTAGCCTAACAACAGTTTTTGTTTCATGCTAAATATAAATATAATTTCTTTCTTTTGACTATGTAGTGAAATGTGACCTGGATTTGTCTTGACTGCTTTGTAAGATATTGTTGAAATCTCACAGAAGTGTGTCTTGTGTCTGTGTCAGTGCCCAGGCAGTGCTCTGAGAGCGAGTTTGCCTGCACCAGCGGCCGCTGTATTGCTGGCAGATGGAAGTGTGATGGAGATCATGACTGTGCTGACTGGTCTGATGAGGCAAGTCACAAAACCACTCATTCACACCTGCCTCAGGAAAACACACCCTTCAGCAGAATTGATCAGTGATGATCCTCCTGAATAGCAAAAACTCACTGCAGTATGTAATGTGTGTGTATTTTGCAGCACGGCTGTGATGTGAAGTGTGATAATGACCAGTTTCAGTGTAAGAACGGTCACTGCATCCCATTCCGCTGGAGGTGTGACGCCGATGCCGACTGCATGGATGGCAGCGACGAGGAGAACTGCGACACTGGAGGTTAAAATCACACAAAAACATGCTACATACAGAATCAGCTCGAACCGAAACTGTCATTTATTAAAGGAATATTTCACCCAAAAATGAGAATTTGCTGAAAATGTTCTTAGCCTCAAGTCACACAAGATGTAGTTGTGTTTGTTTCTTCATCTTATTTGAGAAATACATTACATCACTTGCTCACCAGTGGATCTTCTGCAGTGAATGGGTGCCGTCAGAATGCGAAAAGCTGCATGTTTGTAAGAAACAAATCCATCATTAAGAAATGTAGGCACAAATTTTGGCTAAAACACGAGACCTTAATTCATAATAACACTTTCTCCAGTGAAAAAGTCCATCACCTGTTGTCCTTCAAATTCACTAACATATGTTTAGAGCTGTTTTCATTTGTAAACAGTGCTTGATCTGTGCATATTTCTCTCCTGATGTATATGAGATGATAGTTCACTGGAGAAAGCAATATTGTGGATAGAAGACTCGTATTTTAGCGAGACAGTGATTTTGAAGTTAAAAATGTCTTGATGGATTTGTTTCTTACAAGCATGCAGCTTTTGGCTTCACAAGATGTTAATGGATAGACTGGATTCGTGTGGATTACTTGTGGGTTATTGTTTTTGGAGTCTCATTCTGACGGCACCCATTCCAAATTTCCATTTTTGGGTGAACTATTCCTTAAACTTTGTTTCTAACCTGTACTGAATGCTGCTTTTGAAAATTTTTGAAGAATCTTCTTATAGCTCTTTTCTATGCAGTGATAACTTATAGTGACCACATCTGTCAAGCTCCATTAAAAAAAAAATCCATACGATTTTTGCACTATATTACATATCTTCTAAAGTCATACAAAAGAGCTTTGTGTGAGAAACAGCAAACGTCATTATTCACTAATCTTAGCCTGTGTTCTTGTCTAGATTCTATGTACAGTGGGGAAAAAAAGTATTTAGTCAGCCACCAATTGTGCAAGTTCTCCCACTTAAAAAGATGAGAGAGGCCTGTAATTTTCATCATAGGTATACCTCAACTATGAGAGACAAAATGAGAAAAAAAAAATCCAGAAAATCACATTGTAGGATTTTTAAAGAATTTATTTGCAAATTATGGTGGAAAATAAGTATTTGGTCAATAACAAAATTTCATCTCAATACTTTGTTATATACCCTTTCTTGGCAATGACAGAGGTCAAACGTTTTCTGTAAGTCTTCACAAGGTTTTCACACTGGTATTACCAATTAATTCTTTAAAAATCCTACAATGTGATTTTCTGGATTTTTTTTCTCATTTTGTCTCTCATAGTTGAGGTATACCTATGATGAAAATTACAGGCCTCTCTCATCTTTTTAAGTGGGAGAACTTGCACAATTGGTGGCTGACTAAATACTTTTTTGCCCCACTGTATGTGTAGCTAACACAAGGTGAAGAGGTTACATTTCAACGTGAAATGTAGTGCTCAAGTTGTATGGACTGCTTTTATTGTGTTTTTGGAAAGAGCAGGAGAAAAATAAACATTTCAACACTGTACAGATTAAAAAAGGTATGAGAGTAAGTAAATAATGATAGAATTTTGATAGGTTGAACTGTTCCTTTAAACAACAGCGTTACCCATAAATCAGTGCCTGCAGTATTAATTAGAGTGATCAGACTCTGGAGAGGGTTTTAGTATTCAAGGAGGCCTTTCTGAAGAAGCTTTGCCAAGTGTTTTACACACACACACACACACGCACGCACGGTAATTGCTGTGGTTGTGCTGGAATGAATACAGATGAGAGTGTGACGGTGTTGACAACTGCGGAGACAACAGTGATGAACTCAACTGCCGTGAGTAATTGCAACTTTTCTTGGCTGATTTATTTAAAATGTCATGTTTTTTGTTTTTTTTGCGTGTCATTTTTGCCTGTGCCATTACACTAAACATTTAACATAATTTTCATGTACTTAAATCTATGTTAATATATATATATATATATATATATATATATATATATATTTATTTATTTATTTATTTATTTATTCAGGTGCATCTCAAACAATCAGTTCATTTTTTTATAACTTATTTCAAAAAGTGAAACTTCTATATATTCTAGATTCATTACATGTAAAGTAAAAAACATTTCTTATTCATATTTCCCCATGAGTTAAATTCGCTACACTGCTGACTTGGCAATGGTTCAGAAGACGAGCATTGACATATTCCACAAAGAGAGTAAGTCACAGAAGGTCATTACTGAAAGAGCTGGCTGTTCACAGAGTGCTGTATCAAAGCATATTAAATGCAAAGTTGACTGGAAGGAAGAAATTGGGTAGGAAAAGGTGCACAAGTAACAGGGATGACCGCAAGCTTGAGAATACTGTCAAGCAAAGCCGATTCAAACACTTGGTAGAGCGTCACAAGGAGTGGACTGAAGCTGGAGTCAGTGCATCAAGAGTCACCACGCTCAGACATCTTCAGGAAAAGGGTTACCAAGCCACTTCTGAAATGGAAACAACGTCAGATCACAAGGAGTGGACTGAAGCTGGAGTCAGTGCATCAAGAGTCACCAAACTCAGACATCTTCAGGAAAACTTCTGAAACAGAAACAACGTCAGAAGCATCTTACCTGGGCTAAGGAGAAAAAGAACTGGACTGTTGCTCAGTCCTCCAAAGTCCTCTTTTCAGATCAAAGTAAATTTTGCATTTGATTTGGAAATCGAGGTCTGGAGGAAGACTGGAGAGGCACAGAATCCAAGCTGCTTGAAGTCCAGTGTGAAGTTTGTGAAGTCAGTGATGATTTGGGGAGCTGTGACGTCTGCTGGTGTTGCTCCATTGTGTTTTATCAAGTCCAAAGTAAATGCAGCCGTCTACCAGGAGATTTTGGAGCACTTTATGCTTCCATCTGCTGACAAGCTTTATGGAGATGCTGATTTCCTTTACCAGCAGGACTTGAGCACCTGCCCACACTGCCAAAATCACTTCCAAGTGGTTTGCTGACCATGATATCACTGTGCTTGATTGGCCAGCCAACATGCCTGGCCTGAACCCCATATGGAATCTGGGATATTTTCAAGAGAAAGATGAGAAACAGTGGATCCGAGCTGAAGCTCAATAGTGCCTCAACAGTGCCACAGGCTGATCGCTTCCATGCCACACCTCACTGATGCTGGAGTTGGTGCTAATGCATAAATCAACATACTTCAAAGAACACTGAACCTTTCTGTTTTGCAAATCCTTTTTTTGATTGATCTTAAGAAATATTCTAATATTTTGAGATACTGGATTTTTGACTTTCATGAGCTGTAAGCTCTAATCATCAAAATTAAAACAAAAAAACTTTTGAAATGTTTTACTTTACATGTAATGAATCTAGAATATATGAAAATTTAACTTTTTTAAATGTTACAAAAAAAGATTTTTTGGATATATATATATATATAGAGAGAGAGAGAGTTCAGATGCAAAAGCCTCTAAATGCCGCCTGAAACTTTCTTCTAAATTGAGCATTTTTAACAGGCTCCTATATTTGTTCAGTTATTTCACTTTAGTTGCATAGAAAAGGACCCCTATACATTGCCATCAGAGTAAAATTAATGAACCTAAATATAGGAACCTGATAAAAATGATAATTTTAGACGAAAATTTCAGATGGCACTTAGAGGCTTTTGCATCTGAACTCTTCATTCACATATATATTTATTGTTGGACGTAGTATTGGTGAAAAGAAAAACGGAGCACAGCTCAATTTATCAACTAAAACCACATAAAATTAGAATTAAAAAAGAATCTCTATTTCTTGTACAGTCCAGCAGTGTAAAACAAGAATGAATCCATCATATCATCACTCAGCAGAGATGATTGTAAAATTCACTTTATACATCTAATGTTTTTGTGCCTGTCTGCGTTGTCGTTTTTCTCTCTCAACAGATGTGAACGAGTGCAAGCAGTTCGGGATCTGTTCTCACATCTGTAACAACACTAAAGCCTCTCACAAATGCAGCTGCTTCAAGAACTTCATCAAAGTGAACGACACCTGCAAGGCTGACAGTACGTTTCAAACCACAGTCAAGTCTATTTGTATATTGCTTTTCACAATACACATTGTTTCAAGGTAGTTTTTCAGACAATTTAGATTTTTAATGATTAAAATATCTTAATATCTTCATATCTTAATATCAATATCATAATATATTCTTAATATCTGCCTTCTAGTCACATTTAGCAGATTTGAAATGAACAATAATATAGATTATTTTGCGACAACATATTTTTATTTACTTTTCTTTTCATTTCACTTTTGGTGTGAAATGGCTTTTATTTTTGGCAAAAATATAACTTTTTATATTAAAAACAAACAAGCAAGTCCTGACCAGATTTAAAAAGTAACGCAACACATTCCATAAAAAGTAACTAAGTAACGTAATTTGTTTTTTTAGAGAGTAACACAATATTGTAATGCATTACTTTTAAAAGTAGCTTTCCCCAACACTGTGCATAACAGAATTTAACAGAAGGAATAAATGAAGTAACCTTTGATTTGTTATAGATCCCTGGCCTGAAGATGCCTCGTGGGATTGCTGTGGACTGGGTGGCCAACAACATCTACTGGACGGACTCGGGTCGTGATGTCGTCGAGGTGGCACAGATGAACGGACGGAATCGTAAGACGCTCATCTCGGGCATGATTGACGAGCCCTACGCCATCGTGGTGGACCCACCGAGAGGGTGAGCGGAAAATCAACAGAAAGTGGCAGAAAGCATCAGCACTAGCTTTGTTTGTGTCAGCATATTTTTGCTGCACAACATTACATTTATTAGTGGTAATTGCTAAGTCAATTATACAGTTCATACTTAGGGTTAACACTCTTGAAATAAGTATTTAGATTTGTATTAAAACTGTTAACCATTGATTCTTGAAGCACCATGTACTGGGCTGACTGGGGAAACCACCCTAAGATCGAGACGGCTGCTATGGATGGCACTATGAGAGAGACGCTGGTGCATGAAAACCTCCAGTGGCCCACAGGTCAGCCATCATGTGAATCAAACAGCACGCACTCGGATTCAAGCACCTGTGACACCAGTAACATGACTTCTGTTGGGTTTGTTCGCCAGGTCTAGCTGTGGATTACTTCAATGAGCGTCTGTACTGGGCTGATGCCAAACTCTCTGTTATCGGGAGCGTCAGACTGAACGGAACAGATCCGGTCATAGCTGTCTCCAGTGTTAAAAACAGTTGAGTCACTCGCTTGATCAATTTAGGTCAAAACAAAATGTATTCACATTCAACATTTCTCACATCATCACAGTTTATTCACTATAGTTTAGAAAATGGTAATACAATATGACAAGAGCTCTATGAAGACTATGGCAAGGTATGTAATGAATTACAATCAATCAAAAATGATTAAGCTGTTAAATTTAAAGGAACACTCCACTATTTTTGAAAATAGGCTCATTTTCCAACTCCCCTAGAGTTAAACAGTTGAGTTTTATCATTTTCGAATCCATTCAGCCGATCTCCGGGTCTGGCAGTAACACTTTTAGTTGTAGCTTAGCGTAGATCATTGAATCTGATTAGACCGTTAGCATCTCGCTCAAAAATGACCAAAGAGTTTCGATATTTTTCCTATTTAAAACTCGTCACTTCTGTAGTTACATCGTGTACTAAGACCGACGGAAAATGAAAAGTTGCCATTTCCTAGGCCGATATGGCTAGGAACTATATTCTCATTCCGGCGTAATAATCAAGGAACTTTGCTGCTGTACCATGGGTGCAAGTAGGCGCAATGATATTACACAGCATCTGAAAATAGGCTTATTAGAAGTTACCTAGCTGGGGACTATTTTCAGGCACTGCGTCATATCATTTAGCATACGTTAGCATCAGAGCGAGATGCTAACGGTCTAATCAGATTCAATGATCTATGCTAAGCTACAGCTAAAAGTGCTACCGCCAGACCCGGAGATCGGCTGAATGGATTCGAAAACGGTAAAACTCAACTGTTTAGCTCTAGGGGAGTTGGAAAATGAGCCTATTTTCAAAAACCAATTACCAAGCAATGCTTAATTTTGTTTAGTCTGTGGTGTAAAAAGGCCACATTAGCAATTAAAGAAAAAATACTTAAACAACCATGGTCCGGTCAAAGTGTCTGAAGAATTTTTGGTCCCAAATTTTTATCAGTTTTACTGGTAGACCACTGTATGAAGAATTTTTGGGTATAATATGTCACAGTTCACTTTATTTAGCTATCCTCACTTACATAAATTAACTATAATGTCCTGCACCCACTAGTAAAAAAAAATATTAAAAATGATATCTGGTGTCTGAATAATTTTTGGTTTGACTGTAATAGGACAACAAGCCTGGGGAAATTCGATTCACTTGTGCATCCTCAAACAACTCTGGATCGATCCAGAGGAATTCAATTTTAGATTAATTATTTATTTATTTTGTATTGAGAAGCCTAAATAGAATAAAACATTAGAGCCAAAGACATGTGAGCACAAACTTTTCATAATTTAATGCAGAATTTTAAACATCTTAATGAACCAACAACCAACACATGAAATGTAGGACATTTGACATTTTTATATTTTGTTTTATTTCAGTTATTGTTTGTTGTATTTCAGGTAATGAAAACACATTTGTTTAGTTTTAGTTATTTTTTTTTTTTTTTTTTATGTAAATGCATCACTTAAATTTGTATGAGCTTTTGTAAAGCTTGAGATTTAAAATAACGACAAAGTTTTTCTCTCTCTCTCAAGATTTGCACCATCCTTTCAGTATCGACATCTTTGAGGATTTCATATACGGTGTGACCTATCACAACAACTTTGTCTTCCGCGTCAACAAGTTTGGCAAGAGTGCAGTGGAGCATCTGACCACAGGAATGAACCATGCCACAGATTTGGTCCTGTTCCACCCTTACAAACAGCCAGAGAGTAAGTCTGTCAACCAACCGATTCTTACATATAACTGTATTTGAACTCGCTCACAAAACATAATCAGTGTAGTTTTTGACCCTTGATTGATAGAAGAATGGAAAAAAATTGGGAGAAATTTAGACCAAAGGTTTTGATGAACAATGATATGTAAGGTTAGTTTGATCATTCATGTATCATGTGCTGTTTTGTATCATAGTGGCCAACCCATGTGACAGGAAGAAGTGTGAGTGGTTGTGTCTGCTCAGCCCCAGCGGCCCAGTCTGCATGTGCCCCAACGGCAGAATACTGGACAATGGCACCTGCGTGGAGGTTCCCACCCCAACGCTGTCCCCTGTCTGTGAGTATTGTGACCTTTCAAATCGCTTGAAAAGGGAAACAGATGCTGCAGTTTCATGTGGTATTTGTTGAACGAACACTAATGGCTTAGTCAGTGTGACAGGCTGTGGTGCAGTATGACTGGTGCAGTGTGTTCCTGTGCTGTGCAGTCAGTGAGAGGAGTGAGGACACATAAGAGCAGAGTGGCAGTCAAAGGTGCAAGAATAATAGAATGGTTTGGAAATAAAACGAAACTGCAAAATAATCATAGTTTCCATCAGTGTTGGGGAAGCTACTCTGAAACTATAGCTTGACCAGCTACAAGCTTCTCAAAAATTAAAGTAGTTAAGCTCCATTCCAGCTACCCTTCTGAAAAAGTAGCTAGCACACTTCAAGTTACTATCAAAAAGAGGCTAGCTACATTAAAACTACTTCCAATTATTTTGAATTTAATTAATTAATTATTATTTACAATTGACATTACAAATAACTGTTAATGAAGAATTATAATGAAGTTATAAGTAAAATATCTGGGGTTTAAAACAACATATTGTAATGCAATCATTATTTCAAAGAGTAGGGTGAATTCAGGTAGTTTGGGACACTTTTTCCAAGTCATTTCAATGACAAAAGTGTCCCAATCGTTTGGTTTTGTAAACTATCCGATACACACAATAATAAAAAAGTTATATTGTCTCAAACTGACTGTCAAAGTTGAAATAGCTACAAACGTAACATCAAAGCAAGAGCAAACTTTACGCAACTTAAACTGGATCAGAAGAGTCGTAAAATAGGCAGGTTAAACTCACAGCACATGTGGTATTTACTGACTGTGAATGGAGCCGCTCTGAGATGTCAATCGTCAGCTGCGCGCGTGAACACCTGCGCTTTGCGTGAATCCCACCGCAATCATCCTTTGCCAAATGATAAGCACACTACTATATCACGATTTTGTTTTCTGTGGGGGGACAGATATTTTTATATAGAGTGCAATTAAGCAGGAAAATTAATCCGTTTAAAAAGGCTATTATTCACCTCCTGTATGTGCTTGAATCCTTCAATGTAGACCGCATTTTAATCTTTGTTTTGCATAAATTACAGTTGATTCATGTGAAATATCTACTTCTGTACAACCTTTGCAAAATCATCAGATGATCTCTTGTCGGTGGACAGACTGTAAAGCCGGGAGATGTGTGATATCACAACAGATGGCGGAAATGAACAAATTTAGTTTGTGATCTAGTCCGAAGAAGACGCTGTGCTGTATTACAGGCTCGCGACTCGTTAGAACCGAAGACTATAGAAATACAAAGATGGTTCACTCCTATACTTATGAATGGGAGAAACTGCAACACGTAATATGGCGGAATAGTCCCACCGTTCAAATGAAAAATCCAATCGTTGATTGGTAAAGTCATTGCGTCACTGCAGCGGTTCCCATAGAAACCTGAGGCTAGACCAGCCAATGTGCATGCGCAGTCATAACACGCTTATGACTGCGCATGCACATTGGCTGGTCTAGCCTGAAAAATATGCCTTTTAAACGCTATTTGAGCATAAGAAACAACATTCATGGGGCAGTTCATTTCAGATTTTGTTGCGGATTTGAAATATGTAGCTTAAAGTCCGCATGAAATCAAAATTGACTTTATTTACTTTATTAGCGCACATTGCTAGTCTTGATGTGAACAATCCGTGCAAGTTACTCCGCTAAAAAAAATTGTTTGTCTTGGTAATCTTTAATCAGAATGACCATTTGCTTCCGCTCTGGAATGGCATTCCTTCTCTGATGACGACAGTTTGACGGCTTGGGCAGAATATAAACACACCCCTCTAACCGTTAGGCTGCTATGAGTGAGAGACCGAGAGGAGCAGCGCTAAAATAAATCCATACCCTCTATTCAATATTCCATTTCAGCTGGAAATACGTAGAGATTTCAGGATTCCCCCATTCTTTTACATTAGATAGGACTTGGTCTTGTATGAGCTGCCCGGAGTAGTTACAAATATGGCCGCAGAGTGAACAGACTTTTCTTGAAAGGGATTTTGGTCAGAACGCAAAAAGGAATGTAGCTTTTTGTCACGCTACACTGCTACTTGCTGGAAAAAGTAGTTAGCTACTGGAAAAGCTACACTAAAAGTAGCTGAGCTACTGTCACACTACTGAAAAATATAGTTACGTTAGTAGCATCGCTAATTGTAGCTAGCTACTCCCCAACACTGGTTCCCACACATGCGCATAATTTCCGCTGTAAATATAGTTTGAGAAGAGTTGTTTTTGCAAGTGCCTTGAATTCTGATTGTAAATAAGGTAAGTGCTTATGGAAGAGATGTCTTCATCTGATTTGAAACAGAAAGTTAGTTTCAGCAGATCGGGTGGAGCCTGGTGGTTCGCTTCACCACAGCAGAATAGAAATTGTGAAGGTTTTGGAAAGTGATTTTGTTTCTGATTGTGAAGGAACAACCAGGCACCACTGGTTCACTGAGGGTAAATGGTGGGAGCGAGCATGTGCTAGTAGGGATGAACTGAGATAGTGTCAGAGTCTTGAATTGGATGCAAGCAGAAACAGGTGGTGAGACCTGGGCTGAGTGAGGTCATGGGCCATCTTTGGTAGTTTGAAGACACTTTCTGGCAAAAAGGGCATTTAAGTATCTAAAGCATGAAAGGAGAATGACAGAAAACCAGAAAAGAAGTGGTCAGAGAAATGTACTGATGACGACAGTTTGACGGCTTGGGCAGAATATAAACACACCCCTCTAACCGTTAGGTTGCTATGAGTGAGAGACCGAGAGGAGCAGCGCTAAAATAAATCCATACCCTCTATTCAATATTCCGTTTCAGCTGGAAATACGTCGAGATTTCAGGATTCCCCCATTCTTTTACATTAGATAGGACTTGGTCTTGTATGAGCTGCCCGGAGTAGTTACAAATATGGCCGCCGAGTGAACAGACTTTTCTTGAAAGGGATTTTGGTCAGAACGCAAAAAGGAATGTAGCTTTTCGTCACGCTACACTGCTACTTGCTGGAAAAGTAGTTAGCTACTGGAAAAGCTACACTAAAAGTAGCTGAGCTACTGTCACACTACTGAAAAATATAGTTACGTTAGTAGCATCGCTAATTGTAGCTAGCTACTCCCCAACACTGGTTCCCACACATGCGCATAATTTCTGCTGTAAATATAGTTTGAGAAGAGTTGTTTTTGCAAGTGCCTTGCATTCTGATTGTAAATAAAGTAAGTGCTTATGGAAGAGATGTCTTCATCTGATTTGAAACAGAAAGTTAGTTTCAGCAGATCGGGTGGAGCCTGGTGGTTCGCTTCACCACAGCAGAATAGAAATTGTGAAGGTTTTGGAAAGCGATTTTGTTTCTGATTGTGAAGGAACAACCAGGCACCACTGGTTCACTGAGGGTAAATGGTGGGAGCAAGCATGTGCTAGTAGGGATGAACTGAGATAGGGTCAGAGTCTTGAATTGGATGCAAGCAGAAACAGGTGGTGAGACCTGGGCTGAGTGAGGTCATGGGCCATCTTTGGTAGTTTGAAGACACTTTCTGGCAAAAAGGGCATTTAAGTATCTAAAGCATGAAAGGAGAATGACAGAAAACCAGAAAAGAAGTGGTCAGAGAAATGAGAGTTGTGACACGATGGTTGTTAATGATACTGGTATAGGTAAGGATGAGGTCTAGCTCTGCCTGCTTTGTTGTCGCAAGGGCACGCTGTCTTGTAATGTCTACACAAGGACTAAGAATGCAGCTGCTTGAGGTTTGTCTAGGTGGGGTTTTTTTAAGTTCCATCCTCAGCAAAAGAGGACCGCAGCATGCATAGTTCCTCAAGGATGTTGTTTAGTTGAAAAATGACACCAAAGTGAATTTCACCAGGATTCTAAGGAAGCAGGGAGAAGATATAGACGGTTTCAATGGCAACAACATAAAAAACCGTTACTGTGCATGCCCGCTTTTGTGGCCCAAACTTCACTTCCGGTAGACTTCCGCAAAGAAGCAATAACAACAGCAAAGTGCCTCTAGAGTAGATTATTTCTGATAAGCAAAATATGTTTGCTGCATAAATCAGATGGGCTTATTGAAAATGCAAATTCATCCTCTGCCAGCAGGAGGTGCTTTTGGAGCGGCAGAAATAGAGGTTTCCCCAGTGACGTCTGTACACAAAGCAGCGCTCCGCTCACAAACGCTGCTTTATCAGACATTACATGCAAGATGAAATGAAAATGTTCTGAGGACAGTCGGTTTCCCTCAGAGATACAGTGATATAAAAAACACCTGTGCCATGTTAAAGCCTTTTGGAAAATCTATTTGTGGTGGTCAGTTTTGATATTGTGGCGGGACGCCACAAATAAATCAGTGTATGGGAGACATTGCATCCCACAACACAACAACCTGAGCTCAACATCAGTCTACTCATCACCTTAACTTTAACTGCGTTTGTAGTTGGTGCTACTAGCCAGACCGATAAACAAACACAGACCGGAAGTTATCTTCGGGCCAGGCACGTGCACCCTATGAAACCCTCTATCGGAGTGAATCTGGGCTTGGAGTGTGGACAAAGACAATAGTGTTCCTGTAGCTCAAAGAGTAGAGCTCAGCGATGTCAATTCACTGTCCACCAATGCGTTCAAGGAAGTGATTTCATTAAAGTCAGCATGTAATTAAACCTGTCCAGATTGATTGAAATTTCTTTATTTCTGGTCTTATTATTAACGATCCATTTGTGCATGTTATCCCAAAGAAAGAAAATGTTTGGGTAGAGATAACTTTTCCACTGAGGTCACTTAGCCCGCATGGGTTATTGGATAATGTTATCCAGTGGCAAAATAGCTTTTAGGTATTGTTTTAGCAAACTAACTATTTGGTTTGGCATAATTTCGGTTTGGTTGGTAGTACCCACTCTTAACCATCAAAAAATAGCTTTTTTTTAAAACCAATTTAACCATATTAAAAATATCAAATTAAGTCCCATTCTACATTTTATTCTGGTTGAATATCAAGATTGACTCTGAAATGTCACATTATGGAAATAAAATGGATTGTTCACTTGGGTTGACCTCTTATAAAACAAGCTCTTTTTATCTGTTTCTTTGTCTTCCCTCAGCTCCGAGTGGCCCCTGTAATCTGCTGTGTCTAAATGGTGGAACTTGTGTGCTGAATGCCAGAAAACAACCCAAGTGTCGCTGTCAGCCCAACTATGGAGGAGAGAGATGTGAGCAAAACCAGTGCAGAGAGTACTGCCAGAATGGTGGAACGTGTACCGCATCACCCACAGGTACAGTACCACAAAAACACACCATATGGGATTTAAATATCTTTTCACGTGTCTAATCTAACATAACACTGCTGTACAACATATCAGTGAATTTTGGGAAACATTGCTCACCTGATTCGCCGATCTCGCCACTTCCATGTTTGTAGTAATGGTGGCTAAAGATGATGTTGACGTGCAAAAGGTTTATTATGTTATAATAACAATAATAAAACAAAAATAACTTGTCTTGTAATGTTTTCAGGAGCTCCGACTTGCCGTTGTCTGGCAGGCTTCACAGGACCCAACTGTAACCAGCGCACATGCGAGAACTACTGTAAGAATGGAGGAAACTGCACAGTTAATCGTGGAAACCAGCCCACCTGCAGCTGCCCTGCAGACTTCCTGGGAGACCAGTGCCAATATCGTAAGTACTACAGAAAAAAGTGAGCAAAAGTCTTTCCATTTCAGTCATTTCCAATGGACAAATGTTTCATTTTAAACCCACACATTGGATAATTAAAAAGGTCCCGGGATGCATTAGCATATGAGGTGTGAACAGGGTCTAAAGGTGATCCTCAAGCCATGATGAAGAAACTAACTGAGATGAAGTGGGATGTTAATCAGTGTCCTCTACTTCTCTAACAGGGACATGTGATGGACTCTGTGATCATGGAGGGACATGTATGCAGTCCAGCGATGGGTCGAGACAATGCAGCTGCCCTCCGCGCTTTATCGGCAACAACTGTGAAGTGGACAAGTGTCACTATTGCCGTGATGGAAAGTGTATTCCCACCAACATCTACCAGCCGCATGGAGATGTTACATGCAGGTACACAATCTCATGCTCTAGTACACATATACAAATGTTAGGGCTACATAGAATTAAAATTGATCCATTTACTTTTTTTTTCTCAATTCTTTCAATTGGCTCGTTCAACATCTTGATACGGGAAATGGCTATTGTGTGGCCAATCCTGAAGCCCTTTATAATCAGGCCTTAATGGCTATATAACAGTTGGTCAAATGATTCTTACATGTTTTATTCATCATTATAATCTTTACAAATGAACACAACTTGTTTTAATTTTGATGGCTAAATGCAATTTCCAGAATTAAGTTAAATGAACCACACCACAGTCAGTTGACTTCAACATTACCATCAATAAGCTTTAGGAACTCTTTCAGTATTTAAAAAAATTTTCCCTGAAAGTTTGGGACAGTTTGCAAGAGTGTGAATGTAAACTCTGTGAAACTGACTAGTGGGTACATGGGTTTACCTGTCCCCGACAATCTCTGTAGTCCTGTTTAGACTCTTGTTAACAACCGTCTTTTTCAAAACGCGTAAAGTTTAAATTACGAGTGAGGTATTACATGGCATAAAATTATGAAAATATCTTGACACAGACCTTAGTCCAGTCATTTATCCAAAAACACACTCACCAAAAAAAATAAAAAATATATATATATTGACTCAGGATGATAGATCTAGAAGTGCAAAAATGGGCTGCCTGCTACCTGTACAACATGTCTCATTATTGCTTATTGCTTACCATATGCACCTTTGCCACTGGGGTACCACAAGGGTCGATACTTAGCCCTTATTCTTTTTCAGCTCACCAGGCATAACTCGCATAGTTAAAAGAAGGGTCAAAAAGCTTGGTGTGGGGACCACATTATATCCTGCCATTTCATGCTCCATTACATTCAGAAAATGAAGGGCCTTCTCAAGATCATCTCTATTCGGCTCCTCATGCTACTATAACTGTAACTGTGAGGATTTAGTAGCAACAGCATTGTGTAATTGCTGTATGGGCTGATATAGATAATCATTCATTTAATTTTTACACTAAATCACATATATATATATATATATATATATATATATAAATTCCTCTTGTTTCTTCATGTAGATGTCCTCTGGGATGGGAGGGTCATCGCTGTGAGAATCCTGCTCCCAATGTAAATGCTGAATCCAGTGGCCGTAAGTCCATTTTTGAATTCTACAACTATATTAAAATCTTAATAATACTTGTTATAATAACATCTGTTTCTTTTAGGAACAGCTTCAATAGTTATTCCATTGGTTTTACTGATACTGCTGGTGTTGCTGATTGGAGGAGCAGTATTATGGTACAGGAAAAGAATGAGAGGGTGAGTATTTTATAAAATTGTACTTCTGTACTTCTTTTTCAAAAGATTTTCACCTCTCTAAAGTGTTGTACTGTTCAGAATTTGAAATCTAAGCAACTTCCCATCCCAAAACACCTCTTTTCTCTCCTTCTTTCTTGGTAAAACGCATCTGCTCTTTTCTGTAGGCTTGGCAAATCCCGCTCCAAACGACCGCGGTAACGGTCTTTGTCCAATATTGTCTTTATTTTGTCTCTCTCCCATTCTGTCCATCTTTCTCGCTGGTTTGGAGAATTGTGGTCCAAGTGTTCTTGTTGTCTTCATGGTCTCACCCGATCTCTTTCTGTCATACCTCTGTCAAACCACCTGACTAAACCCTACAAGTGGTTTGTGCCTTGTTCAGATGAGAAGGTGGTAATCCGTTACCAAGAACAAAGAAATAGATCCAATTGTGTTAGATTGTGAGAACCTATCGTATTGTTTTCAACAGAGCCATACCGGTCCCGCTGTAATACCGTATGTTTATCTACGATCGGTTCTCAGCAGGACTGCATCTGTTGAACATGTGCCATGTTCAAAACCCAGTGTTTATCAAGATAATGTGGCCATTTGATGGCCTTCGCTTAAAGGATTCGTTCACTTCCAGAATAAAAATGTCCTGATAATTTACTCGCCCCCATGTCATCCAAGATGTTCATGTCTTTCTTTCTTCAGTTGAAAAGAAATTAAGATTTGAGGAAAACATTCCAGAATTTTTCTCCATATGGGCTTCAGTGGAGATCATCGGGTTGAAGGTCCAAATTGTGGTTTCAGTGCAGCTTTAAAGGGCTCTACATGATCCCAGCCGAGGAATAAGGGTCTTTTCAAACGAAATCATTGGTCATTTTCTAAAAAAATAAACATCCTATTGAAAAAGATTCCCATTGAAGTCCAATCTATGGAGAAAAATCCTGGAATGTTTTAATTTCTTTTTGACTGAAGAAAGACATAAACATCTTGTATGACATGGGGGTGAGTAAATTATCAGGAATTATTTTTATTCTGGAAGTGAACTAATCCTTAAAAGAAAGTGTTAGTCTTATCAGCTTTTCATTTGCATATTTTATTTATTGATTTTTACTAGGGAGGGCAGTAAGACCTGAATCCCATGTCATGATATAATTGTTTTTGCTTGAAATGCAAGGGAAAATAAAACATGGTTTTTAAAAGAATGTATTTTAAGATTTAATTTAAATAACCTTAGTTTAAATAGCACTTTAGTTTCAAAGACTTAAAAAATATATATAATTTACTAATATATATATACTTTTTTTTTTTTACTGAACGAAATAGTTAAATACATATATCAATAAACATACGCCTGTGACCATACATCATTTGAATTTAATTGAACTAATGTATATTACAGGGTTAGTTCACCTAAAATCATTTACTCACCCTTAATCCCTGAAGACTTTTTTATTCATAGTTGAAACAAAAATGAAGATATTTTTACTGAAACCTGTGAGATCTCTGTCCCTCCAATGAAAGTCCACACAATCAAACTTTCAAGCTTCCAAACGTTTATATAGAGATTGTACAAGTAATCCATATGAATCGACTGATACGATGATACACAGATTTCATTTAGATTTTTATTTACATAAACATTGATCAACACACATACTGCATTTATTCAGCACATCAAAGATGGGAAATGAAAGCTCAAACTTTTACAGTGTCTTTATGAACCGTTTTTGAAGTTTTGGTGAAATGGACGTTCAAAGGAGGGACATAAATGTCAAGTTTCATTCAAATGTATCTTCATTTGTGTTTTGAAGATGAACCAAAGTCTTATATTCATACAGCCCAACCCTGTTTATACACATACTTTTGTACTTGTACCTTTTATAAAGGATAAGGATTTTCTAATCATTTATCAAGTTGGTTGACTTAAAATTGTGGTTACAGGCAAAACGATTATACACATATACTACGTATTTTGGTAAATGCTGGGTTTGTGATGGTGTTGCTTCATTTTAGGTTGTTCCAGTGACTGTTAGTGGCATCCCTCTGTGTTGTGGCCGTATTTCTCCCTCTGCTGCTTTGTACGGTGTAATACTGACCTCTCAACCTCATTTCCGGTGATTTAAAAACTGTGTATTGCGTATCTGCAGAGCCAAAGGCTTTCAGCATCAGAGAATGACAAATGGCGCTATGAATGTTGAGATTGGAAACCCAGCCTATAAAATTTATGAAGGAGAGCAAGATGACGACGTTGGAGAATTGTTGGATGCTGACTTCACACTGGATCCTGACAAGGTAAGATGACAGCAAATTACATATATTCTGTCCATGCTTTATTTCACTACTCTAAAACAAGTCTAGAAAAGTACAATTCCATTCATCCATTTCATAAAATGTGATTTTCTTGATTTTCTATCGTAATGATTGGGTTCTGGAAGTTGAAATCCCAATTATCTTTCTCTGTAGAGATTTTTGTGTTTGTTTTTATTTATTTTAAATTTTTTTCATTATTATTATTTTTCAAGAAATGTATCATTTTATTCAGCAAGGAAACATTAAATTGATAATAAATGAATCGCATAATTACCTTCATGCAAAGACAAAAGAGCACTACTGCCTACATAGACAGCTACTTTCCTCAAAGTTGCCACCGGTTTGCCATCTAGAGGGTCTTTGAAGGCAGCATATTATTTGGAACAATCTTTCTGTTAGGAGTGTGGATGCGATGCCTTAAAATGCTGACTAGGTTTGGTGAGCACAGCTGTGGTCTTTCAGCTAAAGAGTCGGCCTGATCCCATATATTTCCAACTTTTTCTTTTGTAGCCGACCAACTTCACGAATCCTGTGTATGCTACTCTGTACATGGGAGCTCACAACAGCCACAACTCCCTGGCCAGTACAGATGAGAAGAAGGAGCTGCTATCACGGGGCGACGAGGAGCCCCTGGTGGACCCCCTTGCTTAGACTGTCCATCAGTTTGGTCCATACATGGAAAATACCATTTGCCTTTTTGAGAAAAAGAGAAAAAGAAGAAAGAAAATCAATGATTAAGTGTTAACACTGTATAAAATGTACAAAATGAAGGACTACTTTTGTATGTGATTGCAGTATTATAGTTTGTTCTTATACAATTCCTCTGGTCACAACAAAACACCACAACAACAAAAGATACTTTTTTTTTTTTTTTAACAAGAAGATGCCATTTTTTGTCGCAATTTTTAGGTCACCTCCCCTCTACCTTAATAGCCACTACCTCTGTGCAATATGGAGTCAAATAAGGAAAAAAGAGAGATTGGAACAATTAAATTTTTTTTATTTTTGTATGAGATGTATAGAGAATGTTGTTCCATCAGTAATGCCAATTGTTTGTTGTATGTTTGACTGTGGCGAGGGAAACTTTGACATGGAACCAGTTTTGTTTGCTTCAAATTTACTACAATATCAATCAGATGTTATCAATTGTATGTGCCAGTTTTACTACTCCCACTGTAAGTTCTGAATTATTCATAACGATAATCGATTTCTTGTGCACAGATCCAAGCCATCGCAATATTACATATGCTTATTACAGAACAATTTTTACACAACCATTTGTTTTTAAGTGAGAATGTCAGTGTTGTAGATTTGGACACACTTGACAGAAATGTTTTCATGATCTTAAAAACCTTTTGATCTAAAAGCTTCTGCTTAACTGCTTGAAATTAGTTTTATAGACAACAATAAATTGTGCCTATGTATGAATCTCTTTACAAAACTAAAAATGCTTTGTTAAAAATAAAATGAAACGTTGAGTTAGAAAGGCTAGTGAGAGAAACGCAGCCACCAGGAGTCCCTCAGTATTGTTTGAATTAAGAGTGAAGAATAAAAAACGAACATAGTGTGCAGAGCTGGAATCTAGACAACATAACAGTTTTTTTTGGTCAATACATAATTCCCATACTTCCGTTTGATTTTAGATTAATAGTAAAGAATGAGTAGGTGTGTCCCAACGTTTGACTGGTACTGTATTTATTTTCAGATGAATGAAGTAAAGCATGGATAATTGAAAGTGAACATTCTTGTAGAAAATAGAGAGCTACTTACAAGGAAATCCCAAAACAATCAAATGCACAGTTGTGCATTGGTTGTAGTGACACATTTGAGCGCCTTTAAAGCTGCACATACTCCTGAAGAGGGTTTTTGACAGAAGAAAGTGAATTTTTACACTTGTTTATAATTGTTTTTAAAATGTCACAGTTAAAAATGAAAAACCGGTGTGTTCTAATATTGACACGCTTTCATATTGTCTTTTGTAATCTGCCTCTGAAATATACCATACATCATGTTGCTTTTACTTTTAAAATGTACGCTTTTTTCTTAAGTAAATCCATATTGTCCTACTCAGCTTGTTGCTGACTTTTGTCAGAATCATTAGCTGTAATGTAAAACGAAAGAAAAAAAACAACAACAATCAAAAGTGCACTCATCATCTCAGATGAATTACTAATGCCAAGATCCTTAGTTGATCTTTTGTTGAGAGATGTACAACTTTTGTAGTACAAAATGCATGGAAAGTTTTATTTTTAACATTAAATTTCAGGAAAGTAAAATCACTTGTGAAGGGCTTGGGACTGTGAACATTCCTGTGGTACCACCGGTGTTGTCGTTCCCTAACTATTCATTTTCATCTAGAGTAAATAATCACATGACATTTACAAAAGGGGTTATTATATCCAGAACTCTAGTGCCTTTGAGCAAGCATGGCGGGTGGCATATTTTGTGATGAGATGAATGAGGAAGTTAAATGAGATTTCTTTGGTAGATAGGAGCTGTATGACTAGAAATGGGCACTTGAGGATATTGTCATTATGGACTTAGACCTATTTATTCACATTCTTTTACTTAATTGACACTCGTTATTATGCAGGCACCAGGTGTCACAAAAGGGTTGTAGAGACGATGATGATGAAGAAGGTAAAGTTTCCAAAACAAGATTTAATAATATCAACAGGTAGATCCAAATATAAGCAAGCAAGTATCTATAACACAAATGGCCACCAAGTCATATCACCTTGTAGCTCAAGACCGGTTGCCCACTGAAGCTAAGCACGGTTGAGCCTGGTCAGTACCTGTATGGGAAACCTCTTGGGAAAACTAGGATGCTGCTGGAAGAGATGTTAGTGACACCAGCAGGGGGTGCTTACCCTGCAGTCTGTGTGGGTCCTAATGCCCCAGTATAGTGATGGGGACACTACGTATACTTCGGATAAGACGTTAGACTGAGGTCCTGACTCTGTGTGGTCATTAAAATGGCAGTTGGCACTTCTCATAAAGAAGTGAACCCTGGTGTCCTGGCCAAATTCCCTCCACTGGCCCTTATTAATCTTGGCCTCCTAAAAATAATACCCATCCACAGAATTGGCTGTATCTCTCTCTCCTCTCCACCTATAGCTAGTGTGGGGTGTGTACAGTAGTACATAATAAAGCGCTACATAAATGCCTTATTCATTCATTCATTCAGACAAAGGAAATTAACTAAACAGGGAGTATAAATAAGAAGGAACTAATGAGTTAATGAGGATACAGGTCAATATGATAAAACAGACTAAGAAACTCGGTCAAACATTAAGACAGAACCAAAACACAAAGAAACAGAACATAACTGTGACATAATGCCTCCCTCCGGGAAGGTGCACTGTAAACTGGCAGAGAAGGTGGATCCAGAGGTGGATGAGTGGATGGTGAAGGACAGGAGACCAGAGAATCCAAGGAGGAGTAGATGAAGGAAGGACCCATTGAGGCAACGACAGTGGGAGAAGCCACGGAGAAGTGGATGATGGAAGGACCCATGGAGGATTGAATGGCCAATGAGATCTAGAGCGACCCAGGAGAAAGCATTGAGGGAGATGACCCACGGTGGAACTGATCAAGGGAAGGAGCCAAGGTGGAAACCGGGAGATGATGAGGCCCAGGTGGCGTCCGATGGATTGAGAGACCCGGTGACACTGAAAGATCAGGAGACTAAGGTAAATTTCCGGTGACAAGCAGCTGCTGAGTGGCCAGTGTGTCGGAGACCCGACTACTATGGAAACTTCATGATTATGGTTAAATAACCCTTCAGGTGGTGTCTGATGGATTGAGAGGCTTGGTGACACAGAAGGATCAGGAGACCAAGGCAAATTTCCGGTGACAAGCGGCTGCAGAGTATCCAGTGTGTCGGAGGACTGCGTTGACTACGGTGCAAGTGAGGACAATGGTTGAGCCTAAGAGAAGGAGGAAGGATGGAACGTAATGGAGATCCCAGTAATCCATTGCGATGACTGACCAGGATGAAGCCGGGAGAACAAAGGGAGTCCATTGGAGCTGGAGGGATGACAGTCTCAGGTGGAGCCCATTGGTTGATGAGCCGAGGCGGAGCCTGGGACTCCATGAGCCTGGGCAGAGCTAGGGACTGGAAGCCCCAAGGCAGATCAGGGCTGCATGGAAGTGCTAATGGTGGAGCTGAAGGGCACCAGCAGAGGCGGAACTTGAAGAAATGCCTGGCTTCAGTGGAAAGTGCAGGAGAGGAAGACTAGGTGAGGAAGCAGGCTCAGTGATGGACAGCACTGATGTCGATGAAGAACACACTGTGATGGATGGGACAGGTGACGATGTAGAACACTGTGCTGGACGGGACTGGTGATGAAGAAGATTCTGAGCTGAGTGGGTTCAGTGACAAAGGAGGATTAGGAGGAAGGTTCATGGTGTAACATGGCCATATAAGGAGAAGCTTATTTATAGTATTAATTAATGATAAGACTATTGTCATTCATTTGTGTTAATTGCTTTTTCCTTTGTACTGTTCTTCATCCTCTTGTGTGTCTGTGTTCGACCTCAATCTCAACTCTTGCGAGATTCTCGTGATACTGCGCTTTGTGAGTTTACATTACCCAAGTAGAAAGTCTACTATTTGGTTTGATGTATAAAAAGCTGGCATATCGGCGTTCCGGGAAGTGTGCTTTCATTTATAAAACAAGCGATCATTTGAGTACTGTTGCAATCTGACCTTTTATTTTTTTAATTTTTTTTTAGTGTTGATTTCATCACAGGCACATTGTGTGGAGTGTATAATTTTATTGTTTTATATTTTTTATTACTATAAATTTTTATTTTTTTATAATTGCCCGTCACCCAGGCTAGCTTCAGCACTATCTCTGACTTAAGATAACCAAACTACCTCCATACAACATTGAACATTTTAGAAGTCTCCCTAATAAAACACACCTGATTCAACACATCAGCTCATTAGTAAAGACTCCATGACCTCAAATATGTGTCAGATAAGAGAGACATAAAAAATTAGCAGTGTTGGAGGTTCTACAGGACCAGGATTGGGAACCACGGCTCTAGAGGACCAGCAACCTCAGTTGCACCAACCTGGTGTGACATGACATTCAAGCCTGACCAGGTCCACTTCTGAAACAGCAACCTCATTTGATGGACCAAGGCCAAACACACCATCAAAGATGCTTACCCATTTCCAAGAATCCAAAAAACCCTGGATACCCTTCATATGGTGAAGTGGTTCACCACTGTAGATCTAGCCTTCGGGTATTGGCAAGTGAAGATGACTTCAGAGGCTTGAAAGTCAGCTTTCTTTTGTAGTTGTTTGAGTAGAACTTTATGCCATTTGGCCTTTGTAATACCCCAGTGATATTCCAGCATTTAATAGATAGATGATGTCTTGGCTGGAATGCAGTGAGAAATCTGTCTTGTCTATTTAGACAACATCATTGTACTAAGGATGGATGTGAAGGAAATGCTCTGGCGCCTGGCACAGGTGTTTATGCCAGGCCTACTTAAAACTTAAACTGAAAGTGTTGCCTCTTCCGCTGTCAAGTGGCTTACCTGTAGCACATCCTTACAAAGATTGTCATTGCCAGTAACCCCCAGGTGGTGCAGAAGATTTGAGAGTGGCCATAGCCAATGAATGTTAATGATGTCCCACAATTTACTACAGACGATTTGTCAAAGAGTTTGCCACAGTGGCCAAACACCTTCATACGGTAGTCAGAGTTTAATACCAATGGAGCAGAATTACTGCACCACAAGAAAGGTATTGTTGGTTGTAGTAGAATTCACAGCATGCTTCTGTCAATACCAGCTGGGCTGACCTGTTATCATGCATACAGACCATAGTAGCCTACAGTGACTAATGAAGATGAAAGTACCATAGGGATAATTGGCCCAATGGCTAGAGGAGCTTGGGGGTACGATTTCAGAATTGTATGGCGCCTTAGGCACAATCACGAAAATGTAGATGTGTCCAGAAGGCTATGTTACTCAACCAGCCACGCAACCTTAAAGAACCCCTTGAGGAAACCTGCAATTCTATGTGACTTTGATAGCAGACCTGTAGATGATGTACATGGAATTCTGACTCCAGAGTTCAGTCAAGTCATGGTTGCAAATGCTGCTTTGTTCTTAGAGTAGACTGTTGAAGTACTGTGTTCTGCGCATACAGTTGACTGCGCAGGAGGTTGAAGGGTTATGGGAATGGGTTGCTCTTGATTTGCTGGGTCTTATGAACAGAATGTTTCAATCATTACATTCTTGTGGTACAGGACTACTGCAAAGTGGGTGAATGCTTATCCTCAGCCCAAAGACGAGGCTGTCACCACAGCAGAAACCATAGCTGCTGAATGGCTGTGTTACTAGGGAGCACCACTGGCATTACACGGTGATCAAGGCTCCAATTTTAAATCTGATGTTGCAAACAATGTGTGATCGGCTTGGAACTGAAAAGACCCAAACAACTACTTTTCGACCTCTGCCTGAGTGGTTTAATGTCGCTTTCCAGAAAATCCTGGCTACCACTCTGGAAAGTTTCCACTGGAAATGTAGTCTCATGGTTGGATTTGCTGTGATAGCTTACACAGCTACCAAGTGCTAACTGAAGACTCAAGTTCATTGCAATAAATCAACTTTTGTAGAGAGGACTTGTCTTGTGCTTCACAAGAGGGGTGGACACATTAAGAATCCTGCTGATATAATTGGCAACACGAGCAAGTTGCAGAAGTTGCACTAGTAGGCTACACCGTGATGCACAGTGCAATAACAGGTAGTAAGTAGGGTTGGGTATCGTTTGGGTTTTTACAATACCGGTGCCAAATCGATACTGGTGCCTAAATGGTGCCTGAACTGATACTTAAAAAAGATTCACAAAACGACGGTGGATGGCATTAAAGGGGTCACTGTGTTATAACTCTTTAATGTACTTAACTGAATGCAGTGTGCAATTTAATACATGACAATCTACATCATTAAATTGAAAAAAAAAAAACACTCAGCAAACATTATCAGAGTAATTTAGCAAAACAAGTATTTTACAACTAGAAAAGCAGCAGATAGCAAGACATAACAAA